ATACACAAGAAATGAACACTGTGAAGGTGTAAACTATTTTCACTGTTGCACAAAGCAAACGGGCTCTATTGATAAATTACGTATGCATCCCCCTGACCCGAAAGTTGGTACAAGCACACCTGGCAGCAACTGCAAATGTGAACCTTCTTGGGTAAGTCTGCAACCTTGTGCATCTGGATCCTGCAATGTTGGCTCATTCTTCCACGTAAAGTGTTCCACCTCTGTCAGAGACCCTTGGTGAACCCCAGTTTTCAAGTCTTTCAACAGATTCTCAACTGGATTGAAGTCTGGGCCATTTGAAGACATTCAGATTCTTGTGCTTTGACCACTGTGGCATTGCTTTGGCTTTGTGTTCAGGGTATTGTCCTTCTAGAAAGTGAACCTCTATCCTTGTCTCAGGTCTACTGCAGGCTGAATCTGGTTTTCATTCAGAATTGCCCTGTTTTTGGATCCATCACCTGGCCCTGAGCCTTGACCACTTTCCCAGTCCCTGCTGAGGAATAGCATCCCCACAAATATGCTGCTGCTACTGCCATGCTTAACTGTGGGGACAGGACACCAAACACTGTTAGCTTTGTACCATACACAGCATTTTACAGCATGCCGAAAAGTTCAATGTGATTTCGTTCAGCCAAAGAACATTTCACCACACATTTGCTGTGTCTCCCAAGTGCCTTTCTGCCAACTCCAAACAGACTCTGATACGGGTTTGTTTCAGTAATGGCTTTCTTTTCACTACACTCCCTGAAGTCAGCAAAGTTGTGCTTCAGCCATATTCTTTTCATTTTGTGATAATGGGTTTACTGGTGTTCCAGGGTATGTTCATAGTTTGGGATTTTTATTTATTTTTAATAAGCCGAGCCTGAGTGCTGATTTTGCAAAACTTTATCCCAGAGTTGTTTTGACAATTCCTTGGTGCTCATGGAGCTGTCTAGATATGTTTGTCTAGCTATGCTCTCCAACAAGCTCTGGGGTCTTCCAGAAACAGGATTTGATCTGAGATCATGTGCATTGGAACTGCACACAGGTGGGCTCCATTCAAGGACAGTATGTGAGGCAACATGATTTAGAGCATGGGACTGGGACTAGTCCTCACTCAGTCATGGAGCCACCTGGGTGACTTTGGGTCAGTTACTGACTTTCTGCCCAACCTACCTCACAGGGTTGTTGTTGTGGGGATACAACTGAGAGCAGGTGGAGGAGAATGATGCACACCACTTTGAGTTCTTTAAAAAAGAAAAAAAAGATGAGCTATACACCTAATAAATAAATATGTGACTTCTGGGGACAGAGGGTTGCTTTATTTAGGCTTTATTTATTTATTTAGTTTTTTATATATGGCTCCATTTATAGGCTCTGGACAGTTTCACAAAACAAATCACAACAAAGGGAACAAATACTCATGCAACCAACAAGCACCAGTTTGGTTTGCTTACTTATATTGCACAATTAAAATATTCACAGTGTTGCGTATCTAGTGTACATCAAGTAGTAGCAATGATAATTCAATTTCAATGCCAGGTTATAACACAACAAAATGTGGAGAGGACAACAGCGTGTGTGTGAATAAATGCTTTTGCAAGGTATTGTATGCTACTGCCACAGTAAACAACATAGCATGTAGTTGTGGGAATGCTACAAGAGAAGAAATTGGAACCCACTGATATTAGAAGATTATAAAGAGACCAAAAATGCAAAATAAATTATTTTCATTAATCAGGCAAGCCAACTTGGCTTGTGCCTGTTATGGCAGTACCTTTCTACAAATTCCCAACTCATCCAAGGTATATGTTCAGCCAGGGTGTACATGCTTCTGAGGCCACATGCCTTGAGTAAAGGGGTGTTCAGAAATGTATTTCATAAATAAGACAAGAAACTCTTTGTGGTCATAAGGTGGCGGGATGGCTAGAATCTGGACTAGTGTGCTTTCTTGCAGCATGTCCAGAACCTTAGAACAGAAGGGGAGACCTTCCTCGCCACTGGCTGGTAAACTACCAGGAGGAGGGTTGGAGAGCCCTGTTTGGGCACTATGGAGGGGCTGTGAAGTGGTGCAGGAGGTAGAGAATTTGGGAGTGCAGTATGGCACAACTGGGGCAGGGAGTCAACTAGCAGAGATGGGGTGCTGAGGAGGAGGAGAAAGGTGTGCATACAAGTGTCTATGAGCATGCAGTTTGCAAGAGGGTTGAGTGGGTGGGTGGTTGAGTGGGTGGGTACACAGGAGAGAAGGAGTGAGCACCTGTGGCTGGAGGCTGGTCCTACAAAAGTTTGCCACATTTTGTACCAAGAGCAATCCCATGTATGAGCGGTCACTGCAGAGAAATGAGATTTTTCTGTCCAGGAACGGCTGTAGCTGGCACACTGGCACCCAGCTAGGAAAGGGTCCTTTATGCCAGGCACAAGGCATACTCTCAGACTGTATCCCTGATCTTTGGTGGAGAATACAACCCCAGCCAGAACAGAGAGCCTACCCAGCACACAGACCTCAGGACCACTCACTCACAGGGCCCGTGCTCTGTCAGGGTTCAGTCAAAGTTTATTGCTCCTCATTCAACCTATTGCCGCCTCAGGACACCAATCCAGCAACTGCTTGGCCTGAGCTTCTGTACACCCTTAAGTGCCTGAGCCTGCCTAATCTTGGAAGTTAAGCAAGCTGGATGATTGGTTTAAATATGGTGAACTTCCCAGAGAACTCCCACTATGGGCAGTATAGAAGTGTAATGTGATGTAATCATCATCATCTGATTCAGATGACGAGGGGAAGTAGAATAGTAATATCAGCATACTATAGACACATCGCCCCCCTAAGCATGGGGGGAAAGAATGCAACCCCACAGCACAACTGACAAAGGGACCAATGGATGTCCCCAGATGCCATTTATTTAAAATTAACCATGCATAGGACTGGGACCACCGTTTTACTGTGCCTGCAATTCCCAGCCTAGAGAGTCAGTCCAGGAAGATTCCATGGTCACCGATAGCAAAATCAAATAAGAGATCCAGGGAAAAAAGTAGAGACATACTATTTCTCTGTATCATGGTGGATTAACATTACTCTCTGCATTATATATCAGAGTAATTATGACATGGAGAAAAAATTAGCACAACATGTGGATCTAACACAATCTACAGGCATAAAACCAGCCAAAATGTATAAACCAGAAGCTGAAAATCATGTGGATCTACTGCAAGTTGTGGAAAATTGGCCAGCTTTCTATTAATAATGCTTATTGCCTGTCAATTATTAAAAGAGTAAACTGGGCCACATTTCTAAATAGTGCAGAACATTTAAAACACAATTTTAAACACTACACATATGCAGGCCATGGTTTCACTTTAAATGCTGTGTTTTCATTTACCACTTGCCTCAGCATGAAACACTGTGGGAAGTAGACCATAAGTGAAGGAATGCAAGCTATAAGGATCTAAGTAAAGCCTCTCTCAGCTTCATAGGCCTATTTGCAGGTTGTGAACTTGAGGACACACAAATTTCCTTAGCATTGTTTTAATGTGAAAATGTGATGTCTGTGGAAACCCTCCAACCCAACTTGGCCCACTGCTGATCATAAGATCAGAAGTGGCCAGGAAATTCTTCAAGCTCAGACAAGCCTGATTTTCCTGGAAATATGCCAACTAGTTTATTCCCCTTTCTTTTATACTTTACTCCTGGACATGATCCATGTTTTGACTATTGATTTGTTAGTGGGTTTTATCACCACTTTCTACCAGTGACATTAGTCCACCAAAAACACCTCATCTTCGGTCCATCTTTTCCATTTCACCTGTTGCAGGTATGCAAGTTTAGTTCCAGCTTTTGTGATTTATCCCCCTGTCAGTGTGACCTATGCTGCAGGACTTCATTAGTAGGCTTTGAAATAGTCTATCCTTATACTGATATTCTTGTACTGTTAATTCTATGCTTCCCTATGGTTAGTGTATGTTTGTGCAGGTGTAATACTTCTGTGCATTCATCTCATGTACCCTCATACTCCAACTTCTTGGTATAGTCCGTGTCATTGTGTCACTGTTCCTTGAAATACAAGCACCAATTTAAAAAACCTGGAGCTGTTGAAAGATAGTTTAGCCTTGCAAAATTGCTATTACTTATCAAAGAACACTTTCACTTATCCATGGTACCCGATAACCTGATAACTGCTCCTGACACTGACCACATGAATCAGATACTGATCCAATTGTCTCTGCTGTATTGTGGTTTAAACTGACATCACAAGAAGCAGGAAAAAGTTACAGGCATTGCTCCAGAGTTTGCTACTGCTGAGCGACAGCTCTTCAATTCCTCTCAGTACATACTGATGACTAGCCCTTTCTTTGCAATCCTGTTCAGGCAGTCAATTATTTTGCACTTTCTATTTAACAGCACTTGGATATAATGGGAAAAGTTCAGAAGAAGGTATTACTGGGAAGGCAAGATTCAGCAGTTACTTATTGGAATGTAGGTCCTAACACTTTCCTTTGGTGACCCAACTGCTCCACTGCTTTGGAGATGAAGAGCAGCTTCGGGGGGGGGGGGGTGATGGTGAAGATGAGGATTATACTGACAGCCACTACCATGACCTAAACAAAACCAGATGGTTGAATGGGTCCTGTTGAGGTATCAGGTACAGGGGAAAATATACCGTTTGGAAAGCATTCACCTGAACTCTCCTTGGGCATGTGGAATAAGTCAAACAATTCTTTACATTCTACTCAAAGTCTCTTATGGGGGAACGACAGAACAGGGATTGTACTATTTATGCAATAACACAGACTGCACCTTGTGTATCAATTCAAGGAAAAAGGAGGACAGGCAAAGCAAGGTGCTTTGGGAAACGAGGAAGAACGCTTCTTAGAACATCCTCATGTACGTCAAGAGACTAGAAACCTCAACGTTTCTCTTTATATTTTTCCCCAGGGACCATCTTCTTTCTACATTCTTTATCTCATTTACTTAACATTCAGCAAAAGTACATAATCAGAGACAGAGCTATGCCACAGGGCCTTACCACTGTTCACGAATCCCAAGGGCTGGAAGAATGCTGCTATCTTGGGCTTTCCACCTGGAAAAATACAGACAAGACTGGAAAAACATTGGAAGGACTATAGTCCAAAAGCTCATACTTATGGGTCTACATGAGATACTGAGACCCAGGCTTTCTGACTCATAATCAAGAAATCAATCAAGCTGGAAACATTTATGTAGCCCCAGTCAGAATTCCATTAAAAGTAAGGGAAAGTTTAAATCACCCAAATCCATGTACAAAAAACAGATCAGCTCTCCTCCCACTTCTGAATCTTATAACGTACATGCCAAAAAGCTCCCACAGAAGTAAAGGTTAAACCCTGCAAATGTATATAGCTTTTAAAAGCATATACAGTTGCTAAGGGATGGAATCTACAACTGGAAGATAAAAATAATGTATGTGATAAAAAATAACTTGAAAATATACACAACCATCTAAAAGCTTACAAAATCAGAATAACTCTGTTGTATTTATACAGAAGAGTGACAATTGTGATGCCTCAGCCTTTCTCCATGTATTGTAATTAAAGATTAGGGAGTTTTAAGAACATTTTACCCACACTTTGAAATTATATAGCTATGGAAATCAGCAATGCCAGGATCTGGATTTAGACTTGCCTGGAACCCATCATAGGTTTCTATTCGTGCTTTTGTTTCTAAAGAAATAAACAAGCTAAACCAAGCTAAATTTAGTTGTTAATATGTCCCACTGAAACCAATGAAGAAAGTAACTGTGACAAATTTAAACTCTGAGATCATCACAAATAACCTTAGCAAGATGGGGGTCCATGTTTTCCCTTCACCCTGCTTCTTTCATGTAACATCATGTTCTTCTCCAATATGTTCCTCGGCCAGCAAGTGGTTGCTGGTAGAGAAATGAACTTTTCTAATGAAATTCATTTGAGAGATTAAGTGTGCAGTGCAATGCATGTTTCAAGAGAGAAAAAACTTCTCTAACAATCAGCAAACCCCAGCACAGGATTACGCCTTAAATAAGGCATTGCAATTTGATTCAGTTGCTCCATGTCTTTAAAGAGAATGTTAAAAGAAGAAAAACAGAAGCAAACATGAACAGAAATAGTTAAAGAAAAAGCCCTCTGCAATGCCATGACAGTTGCTCATGATGATGAAACATAAACAGCAGGGAATGATGTTGCTGTAACAACCCCCTACCACAGAAAAATGTAATTCTGATGCTTAGGATGAGAAAGGGCTTCCAAACTACAGAAATGAGTCAACAAAATTAAGAGCTGTTACATATAACATACAGGCATTTACACTAAATGGGTAGAGTGCAATCCAATCAAAATTAAGCAATACTTCATCCCTTTTACTTGAATTGAAATGTCTTAAATTGATGCTTAAACCTCTCTCACTGAATTCCAAGGGATTTAGATGTGCTTAACATTGAATGAATCATGTCCATAATGTTTTATCCAAAAGACTATAATTTGAAACACACAAAATTATGGTTTTGAAAAATAGCAATGTCTGAATTTTATGATGCAACATGGAGTCAGCCTGAGGAGAAACAGTGCCACCCCCTACATTATGAGAGAAATATTTGTGGTTTCTAATTTGTAGCTGAAGATACAAAGTTCAACATGATGTAATAGAAGCATTGTTTTCTGTAGTGTGTGCAATCATTTTTCTGCTTTTCTTTCATCTCTGGTAGAAGAAGTTTTTCAAGGAACTTCAAAAAACTACTTCAAAAACCTGCAAAGCTCTGTTCATGGGAAATAATGGTGGGATACAAGAACCTGATGTGTACTGTATGAGAAACAATGACTCCATCTTTCTATCTTCATCTATTTAAATAGTACATTGTCCAGTAGTGCTTGCTGGATCCAGAGAATTCCCAGTTTAGTTTAAAATAACTTTTCAGCAAGATATGTACAGAGGTAAACATCATTCACAAATAAACAATGCATTCTAAAAAATAGCAGAAAAGTCATAGACATAGCACTTTATTCAAATCTTCAGATGGTACAAAATAGAGCTGCCAGGTTGGTGATGGGGACTGGGCATTATTCTCATATAACCCCAGTCCTCTACCAGCTTCACTGACTCCCCATCGAAGTCTGGGCCCAATTCAAGGTGCTGGTTATCACCTACAAAGCCCTTAATGGCTTGGGACCTGGATACCTAAAGGAATGCCTGCTTCCATATTTGCCCTCCCGCCCCTTGAGATCGGCGGCAGAGGCCCTTCTCTGGGAAGCCTCCATGAAAGATATTAGGAGGGTGAGTAACCAGAGGAGGGCTTTCTCTGCGGTGGTGCCCCACTTATGGAATGCGCTCCCCAAAGAGGTCCACCTGGTGCCATTGTTATTTGTTTTTCGGCACCAAGCCAAGACCTTTTTATTTAAATGATATTTTAATAATTGTTGATATTATTTATTGGTTTTAAAATACTTAGTCAGGATGCATCCAGATTTTATATGTATTTATTTGTATGATGTTGGAAGCCGTCCTGAGGCTTACGCGAATGGAATGACATACAAAAGTTCCAAATAAATAAATAAATAATCCTACAAACAGTTTTGAAACATCAAATATGTTAACTATTGAAAATATTTCCTTCCAGGATTTCTAGACAAATGAAACACTACTTCTGTCTAACTATACTGTGGTACCTCGGTTCACGAATGCCTCAGTTCACAACCAAATCAGTTCACGAACAAAAATTTCGGAAAATTTTTTCCTCCATTTGCGAACTCCACATCAGGTGATGACCACGATCACAGCCATGTTCCCACACAAACATATGATCATGATCGTGGCCAGCCTCCTTGCTCGCAGTCGCAGACAGACCTGTGGTCACTTGCTGTGAAGCTTTTTTGTGTGCTTTTTAGCACATACAGTACTGTAAATTATTATTCAATAATGGATTCAAAGAAAGTGCAAAGCAAGCATAGTGGTAAAAAGAATGTGCAGAGTGGTAATGAAGGTGACCAGAACATGCAGATTTTTCACCAAAATTGACCCTGCAGCTGAGAGACAAAGAAGAGAGGAAACCCCTGAAGGAGATCTCCCAGATGTCCTTATGGAGGGGGACTCTCCCTCCAAACAATAACCTCCCCCCCACCTAAGTCAGTGTTCTCCACTGTACTGTACTTTGTTATTCTTTGTTACTTCGTTTCAAATTTTTGTGATTAAAAAAAAAAGTTTACAGAATGGATTAACCTTATTTACATTGAACCTTATGGGGAAATTTGACTTGGCTTGTGACCAAAATTGGCTCGCGACCACATTTGTAGGGGTCAGAACGGATTCACCTTATTTACACTGAACCTTATGGGGAATTTGATTTGGTTCGTGAGCAATTCGGGTCGCAACCAGAATCTGGAACGAATTGTGTTCATGAACCAAGGTACCACTGTACTTCTATATTGATACGAACATGATTAAATGGTACTGAAAATCTATGACTATGACTAACAACACTTCCCTGATGCCAACTTCAGTGTCATCTTGGTTTCATATATTTGGCATAATCTAAGTTTCCTCAGACAGAAAGCAAATATAGGCTTGGTTGTATGAGTGGATGTCCGCCCAGCAAACTGTAGAAAGAAACTTTTCCACATTTTTAAAATACATAAATGTCTAGTAAGTGTTTTTGAATAATGCTGGATCCAAACAGCAGCAAGGTGAAGTCATAATTAAAAGGGTTAGAAGCTTCAACCTTCTACCTTATAGTTAAGAACTGGTTTGACTTTAGCATTACTAAGAATATGTGACTATAATTATTTACATTGTATAGCTTTGCTCTGTATATAAAGAACTTTATAAAGAACATCCTGGCAGGTAGTGAGCTGGTTCACATAGGCCAACACATAGTATGTTTAACCTACAGGTTGTTGAATTCTAGCTTTTTGCGATGTTGAAGTGTAGTCATAATAGCAAACCATCACAAATAATCATCTGGCGTATGTTATGGGACAACCCGTCAAGCACACATTCTGTCACTCTGACATAGGAAACTCCGTATCAGTGAGACCATTATTGCAGCTAATTACATGGTAAAAGCTTAATGGTTACAGTTTTCAGAAATCATATAGCTGGTGACAATGAACTATAAGCTATAGGTTCTATAAGCAATTCCACAGCAATTCATGTCAAAGATCCAGACAACTGGGGTTCTTCATTATAATTTTTATCAGTAAGAATAAAGAGCAGGATCTGAAAGATTGCTTAGGTTAACTTTTCCAGACAATCAAAGGTCTCTAGAAAAGAACCTAAAGAAGCCCACATAGGCAAAGCTTTATACCAGCCTTGAAACATTTGTTGGAACTTCTGTTGCAGGAGTCAAGGCCTACCAAATATAAGACAAAGCAAGTTCAAGGAATACCACATATGCAGACAATCTGACAACCATGGGTCACATCTTGGTATGTCTGTGCTGAACAGTAAGCAGGGATGTAATGGTTAGGACATTTTGGAAGCCTTTCATGTAGAAGTTGTAACACATGCCTAAGTCATCCCTAAGTCACGTCATACATCAGAAATGACTTGACGGCACATGACAGTAAATGTCCACGCTACCAAGCTGCAGACCTAGAAAAGTCCAAGGGTCAGGATTAGTCCAAAACACCTGGTAAATATGGATCATCCATGATGAAGATGTGCAATCCTTTGCAAACTAGAAATCACATTCTATCCTAAGTATAGCAAGTTCTTAACAACACAGAGTTCAAGAAACAAAGGCCCAAGTTGGACAGAAGCTTCATGTGAAGTGTGTTTCAAGGGGCTCAGATAGTATTAGGTCCAAATGGACAGGACTTCAGGGAATGAGCCTAGGAATGTTCCTAGCAAATTTACTCAGTCCAGGTACCAGCTTAAAAGGGAAGGTGTGGCTTTGAAAGCCGCATTCTTAAACACTGACAAGGAATTATAGCCATCAATATAAATACAGCATGAGGCCCCATACACAACCAGGGACTCTACAGACTCCTGAAAAATGTATCAAGAATCTTTTGCAATATGCTATTGGCATAGAATGTGGTAGAGAGAGTAGCAAAAAGGGGAGAAATGGCAGTG